AGTCCCCATTCTCTCACTACCTGCCTATTGGATATTTCCAATTGGATGTCCACAGGCAGCTTAAACTCAACATGTCTAAAACAGAAGTCAATTATTTCTTTTACCTCCAAATCCACTCCACATTCCAAACTTCCTTATCTCTGTTGAGTGTACCAAGTTGGTCAATGAGCATTTTAAATACTTATCATACTCATATTGTCTCTTCACTCACAATATAATGAGATCAAGACAACTTGCAAAATAACTATATACATACACAATGACACAGTGTATAAACGGAAGGTAATCTCAAGAGGGAGTACTAGGTGTACTAGTTATCGGTGGGGAACCTTTGGCTGCGAGACCACATGTGGCCTTCTAGGTCCTTGGGTGTGGCCTTGGGTGAACCCAAACTTCGAAGAATAAATCCCCTTCATAAAAGGATTTGTTCTATAAAACTTGGACTCAGTCAAAAGGTCACACCCAAGGACCTAGAAGGCCACATGTGGCCTGGAGGGTTCAGGTTCCCCAACCCCTGTCAGTAACCAGGTCCTACAAAAGGTGGGATTTGACCTGAATCTTAGAGGAAGCCAGGGAAGCTAGGAGGTAGATATGAGGAACATTCCAGGCACAGGGAGTCAGTGAGAAGGCAAAGAATTAAGAGAATGGAATGTCATGTATAGGAAATAGTAAGTAGGTAGCTGGATCTACGTTATATGAAGGGGAATAGAAATAGAGCTAGAAAGGTAGGAAGGAAGTAGGTTTTGTTGTCATTCCATTGTGTCCAACTCTTCATTACTCCATTTGGGGTTCTCTTGGCAAAGATACTGGAGTGGTTTGCCATTTCCTTCTTCAGCTCATTTGACTGATGAGGAAACTGAGGCAAACAGGGTGAAGTGACTTGCCAGCTAGTAAGTGTCTGAGACTGGATTTGAACTCAGGGAGATGAGTCTTCCTGACTCCAGGCCCAGTACTCTATGCACTTCTCCATCTTTAAAGGAGGATTTTATATTTGGCCCTGGAGGCAATAGAGAACCCCTAAAGTTTAAGGGGAGTAACATGGTCAGACTTACACATTAGGAAAATCATTTTGGCAGCTAAGTGGAAGGAGGGATTAGTGGTGAGACACTTGAGGCAGGGAGCCCAATTAAGACCCAGGCATGGGTCAACAGGAGGCCAGTACGGAACCAGGGTGTTGGCTGTATGAAAGGAGAGAAGGGTATGACCATGACGTTGTATGAACCTAGAAACAAGGAGATCTGACAACAAATTGGATTTGTCAGGCGAGTTGTTAATGAGGAGCTGAAGATGTTTTAAACAGAAAGTGTGCTAGAGTCTAACAATGAAATGGGAGAAGGCTGGAGGCAACAAGGAGAGTTCTTTTCATCCCTGAAGCTGTGAGCCCGGTTACTGGGAGGTTGATGGTGCCCAGGCTGATGTCTGCCATCTCCAATTCCTCACTCTCCTTCCCCCTATATATCCAATCAGTTGTTAAATGTGGTTCCTACTTTACAGCTTATTTAGGCCCTCATCTTGCTGGGTCTCAATGTGTCCTCCTAATTGGCCTCTCTGACTCATTCAGGTGGGTAGCCAGGCAGGTGGTGCCATAGTGGACAGAGTACTGGACTTGGAGTCTGGAAGATGTGGCCTCAGACATTTGTTAGCTGTGTGACCCTGGGGTAAGTCACTTAAGCCTTTTTGCCTCAGTTTCCTCAACTGTAAAATGGAAATAGTAATAGAACCTACCTCCCAGAGTTGATATGAGAACTAAATGAAATAACATATGTAAAATGCTTTGTAAGCCTCAAAGCACTAACTAAATGCTAGCAATTATTATTATTAATATTATTATTATTTCTCTTTCTAATTCATCCTTCTTTATACAAACCACACCAAGGTGATTTTCCTAAAGCATAACAGGTCTGATGACACTCTCTACTCAGTAAATTCCAGTGGCTTCCTATTACTTCTAGGGTAAGACATAGACTCAGTTATTGAACGTTTCAAAGCTCTTTATTTACAAGTCTGGCTCTGTCCTACCCTTCCTCATTTTAACATACAGTCCCTTTCTTTGTACTGTGCACTACAGCCAAATGGCCTTTCCTGTTCCTTCTACACGATACTTCATCTCTGTTCTGCCCTATGCCTTTGTGCAGACTGCCCTTCCTGCCCAGAACAGGCTCCTTTCTGCCAGGCTACCTGCTATTCTCCCCAACAAAGTCACATTGAATCTGTAATACACATATACATGTGAACATTGCCTCCCGGGTAAGAATGTAAGCTCCTGGAGGGCAAGAACTCTTTGTCTTTGTGCTAAAGCTTAGCACAGTGCCTGACATATAATAGTCACTAAATGAACTTGTGCATCTCTTGCTCAGGGCTTTTCATTCTCCCATATTTGGACTTTCTACATGAATACTTTTTTATATTAATCATTCAATAAACATTTATTAAATGATTGCCATATCTATGCACCAGGCATTGTGCTAAAGTGCTGGGGATACAAAAAGAGGGAAAAGAGTCCCTGCCCTCAATGAGCTTACAATCTACCGGGGAAGACAAATAAATATATACAAATATAAATGTATACGAATATAAAAAGAGAACACACTGGAATTAGGGGAGAAGGAAGGCTTCCTGTAGATGGTGGGATTTTGGTTATAACTTAAAAGGAAGCCAAGGAGGTCTGTGGTCAGAGAGGAAGAGAAAAAGAGCATTTTTAGGCATGGGAGATAGCCAGAGAAAATGCCTGGACCCAAGAGGTGGAGTGTCTTTGTATTTGTGGAACAGCCAGGAGGCCTGTGTCACTGGATCTGAGAGAACCTATGGGGAAGTAAGGTATAAGAAGACCAGAAAGGTAGGAGGGGGCCAGATTATGAAGGACTTTGAAGGAATGACAAACAGAATATTTTGTGTTTTCTCCTAGAGGTAACAGGAAACCACTGGAGTTTACTGAGCAGGGGTGGGGCTTACATAATCAGACCTACATTTTAGAAAAATTACTTTGTTGGATGAATGGAGGATAGACTGGAGTGAGGAGAGACTTGAGGTAGGCTGAACCCCATCCCCATCCCAGGAAGCTAAAAATCCAGGTATGAGGTGATAAGAGTCTGCACTAGAGTGGTAGCAGTGTCAGAGGAGAGAAGGGGATGTATTTGAGAGATATTGCAAAGATGAAACTGAGAGGCCTTGGCAACAGCTTGGATATAGGGGGGTGGTGGTGAGAAATAGAAAAGAATCTAGGATGATTCTATGGTTTTGACCCTAAGGGACTTAGAAGAAGTCATCACCCTCTACAGTAACAGGGAAGAAGGTGTGTGGGAAAAGGTTAGGGAGGAAGGTAATGAGTTCTATTTTGCATATATCTAGTTTAAGAAGTCTACTGGATCTCCAGTTTGAGATTTCTGAAAGGCAGTAGTTGGAGATGATACACTGGAGGTCAGAAGAGACGTTAGGGTAGGATAGGTAGATTTGAGAAGCATCAGAATAAAGATGGTAATTAAATCCATGAGAGCTGATGAAGTCATCAAGTAAAGTAGTATAGAGGGAGAAGAGGACTCAGTACAGAACCCTGAGGGACACCTATGGTTAGGGGGACATGATCTGAAAGAGGATCTAGCAAAGGAGACTGAGGAGTGGTCAGAGAGGTAGGAGGGAGGGAGCATCCAGAAAACCAAACCTGAGGAGGAGATTGCCAAGGAGAATGAGGACTGAGAAAAGGCCATTAGATTTGGCAACTGCACCTTGGTTGGGGAGCAAGTTGCCTTAGTACAGCTAGATGGAGAGAGTGCTGGGCCTGAGTCACCAGGACCTGGGTTCAAATGTGACCCCAGACATGTACTAGCTGTGTGACCCTGGGGAAATCACTTAACCCTGTCGGCCTCAGTTTCCTCATCTATATAATGAGCTAGAGAGGGGCAGCTAGGCGGCCCTTAAGTCAGGAGGACCTGAGTTCAAATCCGACCTCAGACATAACACTAGCTGTGTGACCCTGGGCAAGTCACTTAACCCTTATTGCCTCACCAAAAAAAAAAAAAAAGTTGGAGAAGGAAATGGCAAACCATTCTAGTATCTCTGCCAAGAAAACCCTAAATGGGGTCACCACTGTAAGGTATAAGAAATTATGTTTCCACAGATGTAGGGGAAGTAGTCTTAAAGCCGAATAAAGGTGTGGAAGGAGCGGTTTTACTTTTTTTAAAAACTAGTAGTGTGATTAAAAGTGCTGAAAGTAGAACAAAGGTTACAAATTGCTCAAACTTCAAGTGCTTAATGGGTCTATGCACATTATCTTTTCCCTGGGGGGGAAGAGTAACACAATTTTAGGCAAAAAGTCATGTAGAGGGAGGGCAGGGCATATTTAGGAGCAGTACGATTAGGTGTTCTGGGAAGTTGCACACCGGGACGTATCCAGCCAATGGAGAAGCCAGGAAGGGACCTTGCGTTTCAGGACAGGAATATAACTGCCTGCTTTCGCTTCAGTAGGGTGTGTGCCTCTAACAGCATACCCGCTTCTTGCAACAACGTATAATAAATGAGCTTGCCTCAACTACCTCGGGAGTCTTCGTTATTCCTATAAAAGTTGTTCCTAACACCACGAGTCTGAAACAACTGAACAACAAGCTTAGTTGTCAGGGCCGTGTCCTTACCTCACAATATCTTGCAAACACTTCCCTATGTAGATGTCGTAAGCTCCCAGTAACTCCCCGACCAAAGACTGGCTGAGATGCTACCAGCTCCCTACCCCACCCCACCCCAGGAATACATCTCCTAGCCCTCTACATCCCAACTACACGCCTCTGTTCCGTCCGCGAGTCTTTTATAACCTCGGCCTCACCTGCTAGCCTATTACAGGGCCCATTGGAATGATTGACAAGCCCATCCCGGGAGGGCGCTTCATGGAGTTGATTGGCAGCCTGTTCTCCCATTAGTGAGCAATATCCGACCTCAGAGCCCGCCCTTCACCACGCCCATGGGGGGGACCGCGAGTTTGGCGTCAGGCGCGCACTTTAATGACGCAATGACGCTGACGTTAGAGGATGGCGGCGGCGGCGGGAGCCGCCGCGGAAGCCGCGGAGGAGTTGAGGAGACTGTGGGGTTTGAGGTGAGCGCGGCCCCGCCCGGTCGACTGTTCCGGAAGAGCCGGCACCCCAGCGGCCTGAGGGCTCTGCCACGGGGCCCCCGACCCCAGTCCGGGCTAGTCAGGGCGCAGGGTCGGGCCGGACCGGGCCGGGCTAAGCTAAGCCTCGCGGGGTTCGGGCCGAGGCGAACCCGGACCCGGCTTTCCCGGGAACGACCTTGCTCGCCGCGCCCCGGAGCCAGAGGCCTTCCTTTCCCGTCACTTCTTCCGAAGCTTGAGTCTACACGGGCCGGAGGCCGGCGGGTGGAGTCCTCCCAACCCCCCCTCCTCTACCTGTCGTGCTGGGCTCTGGTCTACACAGCCCATAGGGGGGCGGGACCGGTGTTTGTCTCCAGCCCTGCCCCTCCCCCACCTCCCCACGGAGGGGTGAGCCAGTCCCACCGCCCGCTTCTTCTACTCTTAGACACGCAGGGAGGGGTGCTGGTAGAGAGCAGGCTTCCCCACTCTACGGACCCCCTTCTCTGACCTCAGTTTCCTCATCTGTAAAGTGACGAGGTGGTGCTAGAGAGTCCCCAAGGTCCCTTCCAGCTCCTGCAGCCACTTGCTGCGCTCAAGTGGGTTCATTCAGTCGCTCACCACCTCCTTTACCTTAACTCCTTTCCTGGTAATCCTAAAAGCCAGCCCCACTCTTGTTTCCCAGAGTCGACCAAGCTTCCTCTCTCCAGCCTCTCCCTCCCACTTCCTTACAGCTCCCTGTTTCTTCTGCACAGCCTTATTTGTGTGTGTGGAGTGGTGCTGCTGCTGATGGACTTGCCCGTAAAGGATTTAGAGCTCTGAGAGAACTTAGAGATCATCCAGTTTAATGATTCCCTCATTTTTAAGCTGAAGAAATGGAAACCCAGAGCGGGGAGACGCCTTGTCCAAGGTCACAGAGGTTTTTAAGTAGTAGACTTAGTTGGGATAAACATCCCTGTTCTCTGCCTCCTTATCGTATTCTCTCCCCTGCAGTAAAGCTGCTGTTTTTTGCAGCCATGCTTGTTGGTGTCGGCACTATCAGAGCCCCTTATCAGGTGATAAGTGTTCTCAACAGGTGAGAGAGATATTCCAGACTGAGGAGGGATTTATTGACCTTTGAAACCGTATCATTTTCTTGTTACCAATTACACCACTGACCATTTCCTTTCAAAAGGGTTTGGTTTTTTTTCCCTTCTCTAATGGTGCAGCTAGGTGGTGCAGTGGATAATACACCAGGGTGTTCCAAGTGTGGCCTCAGACACTTACTAGCTGTGTGACCCTGGACAAGTCACTTTAACCCTGTTTGCTTCTGTTCCTCATCTATAAAATGGGCTGGAGAAGGAAATGGCAAGCAACTCCAGTGTCGTTGCAAAGAAAACCCCAAATGGGGTCACTGAGAGTCAGACGTGACTGAAACAACTGAACGACTGAAAATCATACTAAGCCTGACTTTGGGGTGGAGGAAATACTGCTTTATGGTCATTTGGTTATCTATCCTATAGGCAACCTATGTCCAAATTCAGTGCTTCTGGGTACTTTTCTGTAGATCCAGGCTTGAAGCTGGGGTTATGTTCTTATGCAGAGCCAAAATCTTTCTACACAGCTCATTGAATTGAAGGTAGCAGGACAGGGTGAAATTAGTTTACGGTCTCCATTGAAGCTGTGCTAGTCAGACTGTTTCCATTAATTAAGAGAAGGTTGTAGGTGTGATGAAGAACCCTACAGCCAGGCAGTTTTTACTTGATATAGACTTTTTGTCTTGGCTAATTTGAGAGAGTGTGTGTGTGTTTGCGACATGTATGTATATATATGTATACACACATACATACTATATGTATATATACGTACACATACTATATATATCCACATACACATGTTCTTTCTCTCAATCTGTATATATATGTAAAGAGAGAGAGAGAGTGAGTGTCCGCCATGGGAGGTTGGGAACCCTTACGAGTCTCCCATAGTGTAATATTATTACATGAGCAGGGGGTGGTTGGTCTCATAACGTGAATTGAGAAATAGGTAAGAGAATGTAAGTTCCAAGTCAAGGAAAAGGAGGACTTTAAAAAGAATGGGTGAACAGTAATGTGACATGTAGAGAAGCTGAGAATGAGCGCGGAGGGAAGGTCATTGGGTTTGGATAGTCATAGATAACCTCCCAGAAACTGAACTCTGGAGACAGGAGAAGACCTCGCACGACTTGATGCCCAAGTTCTCCATGCTCAACAAGTAGGGTGGTGGGCTCAGAGGCCAGAATGCAAGAGGAGATGGTGGAAAAATGGAGTCATATTGATACCGATGATGGACATATGCCCCAAGGTGGTCAATGGCAAGAAATTCCCATGTGTGCCAGACTCTTGTTGTTAGCAAAAGACTGGAAACAAGTGGGTACCCATTAATTGGGGAATGGCTGAAAAAGACCTGTGGTCTATAAATAATAGAATATTATTGTGCTGTAAGAAACAATAAATGAGAGCGTCAGCCCTGGAATCAGGAGGACCTGAGTTCAAAAAACAATTCAAAAAAACAATATATCTAATGACTTTCATAATGTAAATAGAAGAAGGCATGCAAGTTCTAATTAATTGTAATTACTGATCTTGTCCATAGAGTAGGCCTGCACAGCCTGCTGCTGAGCTGCCTATGGCCCTCAGGCCCCTTGCAGCACACCATAGCAAGCTGACTGGCGGCTGTGGGTGGTGCAGGCCTGCCTAGAGAATATAGATGGTGAAAGTTACTGTCCCTTCTCTCACACAGGTTGGTGTTTGTGGGAACCAAATGTTACATCTGCTGATAATCGGTTTGTCAGTTGATTTTGTGTAACTTGTTAAAAGGAAATGGGGTGTGTGAGGGGGGGTATTATGGGAAATGTCTGTGATGCAAAAAAAAAATGTCAAAAGCCATACATAAATTTTTTTTAAATGGAGAAGGACAAGAAAAGTAGAGGCCAGAATTATACTATTTGTTTCTGAAGTTTGCTAATGCAATAAAGTATCCAGTTGCAATTATAGTTCAAGAGTTTAACAGGGTCAAGGGAAGAGGTTTTGTTTGTTTTTTAAGGGTAGTGAAGCATATTATTTCTAGGTGGAAGGGAAGAAGCCTGTGGAAAGGGAAAGATTGAAGATAAAGACAGGAATAATTAAAAGAACAAGGTCTCTAGGAAGGTGAGATCAAGGAAACAACAGTTAGCCTTGGCAGAATAAAAAAGCTATCTCACTGAAAGTAGGGGGAAGATGGATCCAGATGTTTTGAGGTATGGAGATGGAGAGTTGAGAAATGTTCTTAATTCTCTAATCCCCACTGTTAGTGTCTTCCCTTTGAGATTAGCTTCTCTTTACTCTGTATATCCTGCATGTGCAGTGTTTTGTATATTGTCTCTGTCATTGGAATGTGAGCTCCTTGAGTGCAGCAACCGAGTGTTTTGCCTTTTCTCTAGCACTTAGTACAGTGCCTGACACATACATAGTAAATAATAAATGTTTGTTGATATAATGACCATAAGTAAAACAGGAGAAAGGGTCATCTCTAGGTTTTTGTAAAATTTGTCTCTCTAATTTACTTCCTGCTTGTCCTACCACTCTTTTTCAGTCTGCTTTTCTGGATCTTCATACAGGTCATGTCTGCCAACCATGGGTGTTCCCCGAGGTTTTGTCCTAAGCCTTTTTATTTTTCCTTCTATACTGTTTTGCTTGGTAATCTCATCAGCTCCCATGGATTCAGTTATCACCTCTATGCAGATGATCTTATATCTCTTTGTCCAGTCTTATTCTCTCTCCCTGACCTCCAGTCTCACATGCCTGTTGGACAAAAGAATGGCTAATAGGAGCTGACATTTATAAAGCACTTCTTGTATGTTAGGCATTGTGCTAAGTGATTTACAAATCCCTGATTTGAACTTCACAACAACTTTGTGAGGTAGGTGATATGGTTATCCTCATTTTACAGAGAAGGAAACTGAGATCGAGCTTCAGTGACTTGCTCAGGGTCTCACAGCTTTGTTGTTCAGTTGTTTCAGTGATGTGTGACTCTTGGTGACCCCATTTGGGGTTTTCTTGGCAAAGATACTGCAGTGATTTACCATTTCCTTCTCCACCTCATTTTACAGAAGAGGAAACTGAAGCAAACAGGCTTAAGTGACTTGTGTAGGGTCACACAGCTAGTAAGTATCGGGGTCGTATTTGAACTTAGGAGTCTTTCTGACTCCATGCCCTGTGCTCTATCCATTATACCACCTAGGTGCCCAAAAGACATCTCAAACTGGATATCTTGTATCAGACATCTTAAAACTCAGCATGTCCAAAACTGGACTCATTATCTTGTCCCCAAATCCTCTTCTCTTCTTCCTAATATCCTTATTAATCTTGGGCACCACCATCCTTCTAGTTGTTCAGATCTGTCCCCTTATCCAGTTGCCAAGTCCTGTCATTTCTACCTTTGTAATATCTCTCACATATACTCAGATCTTTTCTTCAGGCCATCTTCTCTTCTGCTGTCAAATTGATCTTCCTTAAGCATGGGGCTGACTAAATCTCTCTCTCACACACACACGTACCATTCAATAACTTCTAGTATCAAATGTAAGATTGGCCCCTTCTTGCCTTTCCTGTATTCTTACACCTTACTCCCTTGCACATACTCTAAGATCCAGTGACGCTGACCTTTCTGTTCCTCTTCTCCTGACTCCATGCAGTTTCATTAGCTTTCCTTCATGTCTGAAACTCTCCGTACTCATCTCCATCTCCTGGCTGCCTCTGAGCCTCAGCTTAAAACCCACCTTCAGGGGCAGCTAGGTGGCACAGTGGATAGAGCATCGGCCCTGGATTCAGGAGGACCTGAGTTCAAATGTGGCCTCAGATGCATAACACTTACTAGCTGTGTTACCCCAGGCAAGTTACTTAACACCATTGCCTAGCCAAAAAAACCCCAAACAGACCCCACCTTCAAGAAGGCTTTCCTGCTCCTCCTCAGTCTTGGTGCCTTCCCTTTGAAATTACTTCCAGTTTATT